GTGATGAATATGTGTGTAAAATTTGTGATGTCATATTTTCTTGTATAATTTTATGCATACACGTTGTTTAAGAACTTATAAATATAAAAAAATGTGTGCGTGTACTAGGTGTACACACGTAAGAAGTGAAACTTCTTTATGACCTTATTAGAAACTATTTCTTTAAACACAGTAAATTTTGATACACTGCCTAGCATACAATTTACAAATTAATTGCTGCAAATTGCGATTAGCAAATTTCAAGTCAAAAATGTAATCCGTTGTCAAACTTCAAAGTCAAAAACATACTATATGTCATATTTTAACGCCGATAAAGAAGTTTGACTTCAAAAAGCAACATCGCGCGTAACGGAAAAATGTGACGCGTAACGCAAAAATGTTACACTAAATTTTTTTCCAACCCCGATAAAGAAGTTTCACTTCAATTAGAATTTTTCTATTTTGATTATTTGTTTAATATACTGACACGCGGTTTACTCACTTATTATATATACAACACTCATAAACACAAGTGTGACTAAATACAAGTAAATATATTTTTATGATGTGGATGTTCTTTTGTCATGGTAACAAAACAATATATGATACAAGTTCCTCCTTCGATTCCTAATGAAGCATAATGGATCCCTCATCAATAGAAATGTGCGAGAATATACTCGAAGGACAGAAATATTATTTGTTATGGAATGGAATTTGATGAAAAGCGAGATTGTACGGAGAATATCAAAGTGACCGGTTAGTATTAGGTTGCGGATACAAGACGCAACTATTTAGGAGAAACATACATAATCGTGCACTATATATGGGAATTTAATTTAGATTTACTTTATGTGTTATGGAAAAATTTAAAACACGAGCTCATAATATGTAAAAGGTTATTAATGTACCATTGAAATGCATATTCTCCTTTCATTCATTTCCTAGCATTGCGTGATTGTAGAATATTATTCATATTATATCAGAATCTTTTCTTTTACATTTTTAATTTCACTGACCACAATAGTATCATTTACAAGTACCGATTAAGGTATATAGTAGTTTGGCTTCCTTTAATTGGTCTTAATAATCATGCATTTACAACTTTCCCAAACAACAAAGTTTAGTGAATAGAGGTAATTTTAATAAGTGTGCGCCGGTCTTTACCGAAGCCAGCAATCAAATCGTTCATCCGATCCAAATGACTTCTTACACAAGACGTGATTCTTTTACAAATTGAAGATGGACGCTATTAGTGAGAAAGTTTACGTCTTATAATATTAAGTCCTTACATATGAAATTGGCGTTTTGTATGAGAGGAACAAAAAGTAGATTTTTTAAATAGAATATATTTAATTAATCAAAGCCTGTACCATTGCTATCTATGCACTTTTGCCATCTTATAGGTAGTTCATTGATCCCTTTACTTAAAAAAGTAATTCCGACGGGAATCAATAAAATCTTTGGAGGCTAAAATCGTTTTGGCTGCCCCATCCGAGTTGAGTTTTTATCATGCAAGAAGTTATCCAAATTTCGAAAATAACGGTAATCTGTTGGAGCAAGGTCCGGGGAGTACGGCGGATGTCTTAGACATTCCAATTGAAGCTCCTCTAATTTGGTAGCAGTCTGTTGTGCAGAGTGTGGTCTAGCGTTGTCGTGAAGCAACAATGGCCTAGACTCTCAATCAATTGCTCTAGGGCCTAGAGCAATTGACCAGCCTTGGTTGCTTAGCAGCTAGCTTTTCCATGGTTTGCAGTTGCTGACAATAGACATCTGCCGTAACCGTCTGACCAGATTTAAGAAAGTAATTCAAATATACTATTTAGCAATTAAAAAATGATTAGGATCGAAAGTACTTTTTACTTTCTAATATATTTGTAATGACTCTTATTCCATTATCATTTGATTTTGATTAAATTAATTTTAAAACATAATTACTCGACAAATATTTATTTGACTTTGAGACGAACCTGTTGACTTTCTACTTCTGGCGCAAGCTTCAAAATACCCTCAGAAGTTTATATTTCTGACACAATTTAGGAATTTTATTCCTTAGGTATTTTTATATTGATTGATTTTATCCGCGTTACATCGAGTTCATAGTGCTCTCAAGTAGCTGTATTCGGAAGACGTGGAACTGAATAAGACAGTGACGAGGGTGCGTTGAGATTTACACCGGGCTTAAGTGATTTAATCTCAATTATACAACTAATTTCGCTGTATTCATTTACAGGAAGCTAAAATTAAGTAATAGTCTCAAAGTATCTTAGTAATTATGAACGCAAAACTATAAAAAATGCTAGATACGCTACAACTCGTCAATTTTATGCATATTTTGGATAATAAATTAATGAATATTGGTTTGCCTTTTGGAGTGAGATTGGATGGTCTTTTCCTTTACCAACCTTAAGAGACTAACTTCGACCAGTCTGACCACTCGTCCCCGTGGACTAAAAGACCGGTCCCCCCTGAAGTCGAAAAGTTACGAATAGACTTCGGCTGAGATTCAGAGACGTTATTGTAAGACGGATTCGGGGCAGAGAAAAGTCGCGAAAAGTTTTACCTATAGTTAAAGTTTAAAGTCTGGTTTCTAATGTTTTTGGTATGATTACAGAGAAAACATTTTACTAATCTGTGAAGCCATTCAGAAATGTAAGTGTGTGAATTTATTAAACAATTCAAAATTCATTGAAAAAACATAATTTAATAAATTAATATCAACTGCAAAAAAAAACAGTTTGAGAGTGTAATTTCAAGTTAAAAGTAGTTTTTTACCAATAAAATAGAAGTACGAAATTTTAATTTTAAACATAGAAAACAAATAAACGGATATTGTAGGTGTTGCTACATTTGTTGTTAGTGTCGATACACTGCCTGTTACTATACTTATTCATAAAAACCCAGAGTGGCCACACACAAATACAATATTAAGTTAATATTTTTACTATTCCAGTTTCAATTATTTTTCATTTAATTAGTATTGGCTTATTTTCATTTTGTTGTATTCTAGTAGCATTATGTCGAATTCATCAATTTATCCCTTTCTGGCCAATTATATTTCTATTGTACATAAAAAAAACTTTTTTATACGATTTGATTACAGGTATTTTGTATAATTCTTAATGAAGTTCAATTCTTCAATTTACCTTTCCAGGCAAGTGAAGTCAAATCTAAAAAGTAAGGACAATTTAAGATGGTTTCTTTTTACAAAATCCTTTTGTATTACCATTTGCAGCACTGGTATTCTGTAACTCCCAAATAGCGTTGCGATGCCGACTGGAATGGTGGTTTTTGTCTCAAGTTAACGTAAAATACATCAAAATATAGTATTGTCTTTTATTGGAATAACTTTTACACGTTTAAAGAAAACTGGCAAAACAGCGTGTGTGGTCACGGTGACTGTAAAGCACGCGAAACGTCAGAAAAAACTAAAATTAAGTAAAATCATTTTAAATTTATAATAACACATAACTTCAATGCGGTAAAAAAGTGTTTTCTTTATACATAAAAATAGTTTTAATTTATTAGAAATATAATTTTCATACTACAAAACAATTTTTTTGGCTTTTAGATGCCTTGTAATCGACATTTCTGATAGTAGATCCAAAATTATCAACTATGGATTGATCCATTCATAGATTTATTTTTCAACGACTACATTTTAAGGCGATAAATCTTTGGACGGTAAGACTGAATGGAAACTTTCACCCTAGGCACACCTTGAAGTCTGGCGTTCCACTACAGAGCGCTTTTTAACACACTTTATGAAATAAGCTGCTATCCCAGGTATTTCCGAATCGTTACCTACATAGGGGCCTAAAACAAAGAGTTTACTGCTTTCTTAAGGGCCGGCAACGCACTTGCAAGCTACCTGTTGTTGCGGGTGTCCCTGGGCGGCGGGAAGCACGTAACTTTAAGTGATCCGCCTACGTGTTTGCCTCGTGTCACATCAAGAATTACTTAAAAACATACATATACCAATTTAAAGTTATAAGAAAAACAGGCTCTGGCTGAGACGGTTTTCTATTGAATTATAATGTTTGACTTACGAGATTGTAGAATTTTCTAGAGAAAATTATTATGTAAGAAAATACCTTAAAACTTTAGGCTGATCAGAAAAGGAATAATAACAATACAACATCTCTAGTTTGTCGCCCATTTAAACGATCAAATGATATTCAATTTTTATTAAAATAATACCAGTAGTATTTATTATATTTAACCCTTCACTTACAAAAGACGCGGTGTTTGCCTTTGACATCATTAATTAAAATGTCAAAATATAATGACGAAATTTTCCATAAACTAGGATAATATTAGGTATTTTGTTAATCTACAATCTGAAATCCATTAATCTTAATTTTCAGTGACACGGCTATTCTAAACTAAGTTTGGCGCACTGGGGACTTGGTACAATAATTGGCGTGTTAGGAATTAGATAAAACAAAAAAAATCGTTTATAGTATGAATTGAAATATTTTCGTTATGCTAATGTTATTTTAATATTGTTCGTACGTCAATTTAAATGTAAAATACTAACGCCTTTAAAGTTCATCGTAAAAGGTACTCGGTCGTTGCGTCGGTAACTGTCAGTTAAAATAGAAGAATCAGCCACCATTTGCGAGTATTATTTTTGTTTGCGAGAATCGACCCAAGTACGTTCTATTGGACTTTGGACCCTTTGTATAAATTTTAAATATCTATGTCTAGCAAAAAATCTATTGGAATATATATAAGTTAGGTACCCAAGTATTATTACTTATGCTTATCTATACAAATAATAATAGAATATCCAAAATCAATGTGTCAATGTCACAGAAGAATTCGATTTTGACACATCACATTTCAAAAATGAAGGTAGGTCAAAAAAGTTATAAGAAATAGCCTACTTTTTAGTGTTTTATTATATTAACCATAATAATTACATGATTCGGAGGGTTTATAAAATAAACACTTTGTTTTGAGAAAAAATTTTGTTAATTCTTTGTTTTAAAAACGTTAAAAGTATTTGTGATGAGTGAACAATGAAGAGTCCGATTGAGGTGAGTAAAATTTTTAATTAATTAATGTGATTTGTTAAACACCCAACAATATGTTATTAAAATACTCATTTGGGATTTTGTATAGCGTATTATGTTTATATTAACAATAATAACCGACATATGTATAACTGTGGACTTTCTAACATACATTAAGAGTAGATAATGTGATGATGATAGACTTTCAGACACAATAGAAAAAAGTAAATTTAATTTTGTACAGGTACATCTGTCTATACAAAATAATTATGAAATAATTCTAAAAACAGTTTGCTTGTTAAAAAGATATCCTTGTCATTTTAATTGAATTTGATTCTTAATATCGTATATTCATTAAATAAAAACAGAAGCAGAATATAGAAGAAGAAATAATACAAATAATTCATGAAGTTAGTTGGAGGATTAAAGTATTATGTTGTTCACTACAAAATATGTTAATCCACGATGATGTGATGCGCCTGGGCAGTGACAGTGTAGTAATTACAAGTGGATTGTTTCGATGGATTTTCCTCAATTTATTGTCGGTCGCTGGCTCCATGATTAAAGGATTTAGGTGTAACGCTATCAATTTAAATTCAGTAATTAACGGTTTATTTATTTATTTCCAATAATATGCATTATGTATATTTTTACATTGTGACTTTGTAGTCGTTTGAAACGGAACAAATACTTAAAAATCATATTGAATGGAAATGAATGTTAGAACGGAAATTATATTAATTGTAATTTTATGTTTCGATCACAATCACAATTACTCGTGCGCCTCGCACAGCTAATGATCGTCGATGGTCGATACATCTTTCTCATGCCAATACATTATCAGGCGTAATCCGATGATAAAGTAAATAAATAAAAATAAACAATAATTATAAAGTCTCGGTCGTCTTCAGACCCACTTTTCCCTTTTCTTAATATAGTAGATAATATAGCATTTATGTTTTGTACAGTTATTTTATAAATGCAGTGTACAATTAACTAAATATATGCTGTTTTTAACTGTTCGGGCATTGATACACCCCTTGACAATTTCAGGTTACGTGCATCGTTTGTCAATTACGATTCTGTTGTGCGGATTGCCGCTGGAAGCACGAGCAAAGAGCTCATGGGCTAACCTATGATTGTCCCCTTTGCCGTGGCAACCCCTTCCTCTGTCATCCCCAATACCTTAACCAAGACTTCATTGAACACCTTACAACCCACCTTCCGCTCCGGTGCAGAAAGTGCCAACAAACATACACTACAATGCAAGACTTCCAAGATCTAGACAAGTGTACTACTATATCTGAATTGTGTAGTTTCAAAAGAGATGATGTTGAAGAAAAGTTTGATTCTATTTACGAGAAAATGCGAAATGATACCGATAATTTTGAGGCGATTGTATCTGTTAATAAATCAAGCAAAACTGCAGTGATTACGCCAATACTAAGAAAGACCCACATTGTAGAATACGATTCTAGTGAGGACGATAGTATAGAAGGTAATAAAACGCCTCATGCGAATTTAGCCCCTAAAACACCAAAGGTTGATAAGCAAAATACCCCGCATATTAAGAAATTGAGACAAACGCCACATGTCAAGAAGTGGATGCTGAGGCAGGCTGCTTTCGATGAAGATGAAGAGACTTTGAATGATGCTTCGCTCAATATGAATCCTAAAACACCAACGCCTTCCAGAAATGATGAATTGGAAGGTACGTCTTTGATTTTTTTCTATATTATCTTTATCATTTTATATTGATGTTAAATCCTAGTTGTTTTTTGGAAACTTTAATATTACCTACATATTATAAGACGGCAAAAATGATCATAACTTGTATCAGTTCCAGAAGCGAGCCAGCAGGTAACGACGCCGACTACACATCTTCCACACGTTTTAAAATTGGCACAGATTGTTACCACTAGTACTCCAACTAACCCAGCAACAGAAGGCTGGCTTCGTTTTCCTGATACTGCAAATGATTCTCCACTATCAGAAATTGAGACTGCTGATAGTCCATCACAAAAGGTATACTTAAGGTTTATGAAATTAAATGTTTTCGAACATAAATAACTTTCTGAATAGTAAATATAATAGTTAGTTAATATATTAGAGCGATCAATCGAGGCTCGCAAGTAATTTATTTTCTTTTCTTTATTTATAACTAAAGATAAAAGGGGCTTGAGACACTATCACTTTTGGACAGGCGTTACCCATAGGAGACGGTTCCTGCGAATTAATGTTTACACCATATACATATATTTTCCCCGGAACAGCCTTCCTCGATAAATAGACATTAAACATAAAATCAGAAGTTCCTGATTCATCCAAACAAACTCTTCGGCTTTATAATAAAACTCACACATACACGCATAATACGCATAATGTCACGTGATATATTCAGTATATCAAAAATATAATATTTATATTGTATCGTCTAACGTTATCCCTATATTTTCTTCACTTGCCAATATTTCAGAGACGTCATAAAAGGAGATACCAATTCGTATTTTCTTTCTATTTGAAGAATATTCAAATATTTAGTGAGCAACGCCGTCGCTTGCATGCAACTTTCAATTTGTATCTTTATCGATTCCAGGAATGTACTTTTATTGAAAACGGATCTTTAAGATAGCAGATAAGAAATTAAAATTAACAGCATAGAAATTATTTTACGCATATTTATTAATATTTGAATTCACCTGAACAAAATATCTTTAACTTTTACTAAGACAAAGTTATTCGCTATCCGCACTGCAGACAATTGTATTGTACCGTATTATTTAAGTCAGTATTGTCTAATCAAAATAAAATACGCTTAATACATTGTTTATCACATTTTTGATTGTTAATGAAGGATTCTATTTTCATTATCTGGCTTTAATTTATTTATTGGATACATATAAAGGACCAAATATTATAAATTATTGTCATTTATTAATTTAATTAAAAATATATGTCCTTATAACGATTAAGTTCTAATTGGCTGTTATTAAAAGTCAACGTGTTAGTTTTTTTTAATTATTGAAATGTTTTATCTTTACAGCCAATGGAAATGCCAAAACTGAAAGGTATTATCGTAGACAGTCGTAGAGGAAGTCAAGAGAGTACAGAAAAGCAGGTCACTTTTCAGGATTCTAATGATTCTTCAGTCAAGAAAAAGGTCACATTCGCTGATGGAACTGTGTTCAACCAAGACGCTCCTAATATTAAGCGGGGTACATATCTATTTTAAAGCCATACCAATTACGTCTATAACTAGACAATAGTCAAAAATTAAATTAAAATCGGAAAAAAACTCGGAACTTCTCTAAGCCTATAAAGAAAAGTATGATTGTGAAGTAATATTAATTGATTGCACTGCAATACGCTGATCCAGCTTTGTTTCAGCGTCATAAAGTTTATTCCTTTCTTTATGAACGATGATAGTAAAACTTTTATGTGAGACAAGCTGACTTACCTCTGTTGTTGTGTACATTGTAGAATAATGCGAACAGGTGTAATTCGAAGTTAGTACCGATCGTTTACAATGTCTGTTTTACTCCTTAACGTTTAATTAAACAATTTGCAATTTTGTTTATACAGCGCTTCTCTGTTGCTAGATTTCATATTGTTTTATTGATGAAATAAAATACTCACATGAAATACTTTTTAAATAAATGCCACATGAGCACAATAGCATATGACAAATTTTACCTACTTTGTAATTTACTAACACAGCCTAGACATTTTTAACGCTATTGAAACGATATGCTATACGTAATATTAATCATAGAAAATGTTCTTCCAGTTTATCGCAAGCCAAAACGAATGTTAACTCCAGGCCCACAAAAACCGAAAAGAACTATCACCAATCCGCGATTTCAAGCACTTCTTAATAGGTTTGAGAACAGAGTGGCGACGATTACGCAAACCCCACTCAACAAAATAGAGAAGAGCCAGGAAACACCACAGGCTGAACATAGCGTTCTCGCTCGAGCTATAAGTTTCAAAGATAGCCCAGGCCTTGAAAACACGAAAGATTCGGACTTGTTTAGTTCGTGCGTGGATTCTGAACCAAATAATGCAATAACGATGCTCACAGCAAACATCGCAGGATCGCTACAGAAATGCCTCACATCACTTATCAGAACCCAAGAGGACGATACAGAAATACAATTTAAATTTACAGTAACGAAGAAAAAGGTGAGCGTGCAAAGGATGGCGAATGATGGTAGTGAAAATTTTAACGAGATAGACAGAGACGCTATCGTCGAAAAGGAAAACATTTGGTCGACTGTCACTAAGGTCGTGAAAAAGGTGTTTTGGGGCGACAAAGGTAAACACGATTTACATGATATTGCCTGATATGGACCAATTTCATACTGTAAATATACAAGTCAAAATACAATTAGATCGATCTTATACGGCCTTTATTTTTAAGATTTTATGTTTATAGGAAAAATGAATCGTAATTTCCTTTATATTCAAATATCGACATAATGTCCTTATGGTACTATAATTTACACAGCCGCTAGTGTGTGCGACGTCTACAGCGCGCAGCAAAATGCAGAGTTTTATTCAATTACCTAATTCGTTCTTATAAAATATCAAAAGTGCTTACAATATTTTAAAAATTCAGCATAGAAAATTGTTTTCATACGATGTTAGGAAAACAATTATGAAACACGAGGGTTTACCCGTTGAGCTGCGATGCAATATTGCCGCTTTCCATACAAGAATTTTCTATAAAGGTTTTCATCTTTTTAGCATAGGGGATAACAAGGACATTAATTTTTTGATCAGGTTCAATCAGAAAATATTAAATTGTTTGGTTCTAATTTAATTTCATTGTTTCCTAATTTAAAATATATTAATTTTGGCAGCAGAATTACCAAGCGTTTGTTTTCATTGTAAAATACAGAGAAAGTTTTAGCAATTCTGTTTTGTGTTGCTTCCTTTATCTAAATCAATAAATCGAATTAGACCAGATAACAGATGTAGTTAACTAAGAACATTAAAATAATGTTTGATATTTTAACTCTGTTACGTGTTCGTGAAATCGCTTATTCAGCTTTAAGAGCTTGTTTATGAGTTCAAACTGAGTAGATACTAAAACGTTATTATGCTTTAGAAAGCTTTGAGAAATTTGGCCAAGTTTGGAGGTGAAATAGATTTTGTATATTAAAATAATTGTTATGACATTATTAAACCATATTTGGATAGGATACAATTAATTAGTTTTATATTTTAGAAACACCACACCGATCCTATTGTCACGATTCCACATCCTCATCGACTTCTAAACGCAAGTACGAAGACATATCTGACGACAGTCCGCTGAATCACAAACGTCGAAAGTTCGAAGGGAGGCTCCGTGGAAGGCCACCAATAAGACCCAATCTGGACATGGTGGGCTTAAGAACACACTCAGCGGAGAATTCGTCGTTGCTAAAACAGTTTTCGTTCCCGGAAGAAAGTTTGAACCAAAGCTTTTAATTTTAAATTGCATGAATAAATTTAATTTAATTAGTTCTTTGTGATTGAATGTCCACAGTTTTTAATTGATTGATTTATAATTAAAAGTTATATATAAGGTTATTGTGGCACAAAAGTATAATAAATTATGAATTATTAGTAGTTTTATTTTATCAGGCATTACAATTTTTAGGTTAGCGTTCTGACAAGTACATTATTACATAACTAAGGATTTACTTCATAGTATACTAGCTGACCCGGCTAACTTCGTGCCGCCTATTAGTCTAATAATTTCGTGTTAACTTTAGTTAAACCTAATTTAGGATTTCATTAAGGTAATAACATTAATACAACTTTTTTGCAAATACAGAAATGTTTTACTGCTTGCCATTGCGAAAGAAGAATGACAGTTTTACACATTAGGCCTCTTCTCTCTAGCGCCAATATTGCGATAATGCATGTTAAAGCACTTTCTGATATACAAAATTTTTTGATGAGGTAACACATGTCTTCGATCAAGATCAAAGCCTGGTTATGCATCTCCTCATTCACTTCAGGATCGGAATTTCTTGAACTGACACGAATTCGATGTAAAATGGTGCGTAATTTTGTCAACGGATAGCACCACATGGTGTTTGCATTCGTAAAATTAATTAATTTATTTATTGTTATTCAATAACTTATCCGATATTTTATTACTTATTCTGCTATCCGGAGCGGAGAAGAATTCACCAAAAAAGAGATAACTAACATCGATCCAGCCGATCTTGAGTTATAAGTGGTGTACCTAACACGACCTTGTTTTATATATGTATTTAGATTAAAGATTCCTTCAAAGACCCGATTGATTGTTAACATATAATAATAAGGAGAATTTACAAATCGTTTTATTTAATCTAGCGTGCAATCTCGTCAATAGTTTTAAATTGTTATGTTCTTAGATAAAACTTATAACGTTGGAATTTTTGACATTACGACAACTTGAAAAGATTCTTGGCAATAGTCTTCTGACAATGAAATCTTTGCGTATATATATAGCTTCGAAGATTTTTATTGATAATAACGTTATCTAATACAACTAACTAAAATATTAATTTCTATTTCAATGCATATGTAATATTAATTCACAAAAAAAATCTGGTTAGGTTATGATTAAGGCATTGTAACTTGGCACTGAAATTTCTTATTTATATTGACAATTTTGCTCCAAACTGGCAGAATATATACGATTTTGGCACGAGTCACTTTACACGTGTAAGCTAGGACGCGTTTAACAAACTAACAATTAATACTTAATATGGGTCAGAGCTTATAACTGGAATCATGCTGGTTAAATGAGGTCCTAAGAGGTGAAATGTAGAAAGTCATTTATTCATAGGTGCAAAATATATATTGTAACATTTAATACAGTTTTTCAGTTTTTTTCCGCGAAATCGCGCATTGGCATAAGAACACCAGGCGCTATAACGACCGCAGACGTATGTCTGTGAATTAACAATTAAATTGGATACTATTATGTACTTACGTAGGAAAATCTAATTCTAATTCGCGTTTCGATTGAGAGTCAAAGTGATACTCCAGGCGTTACGAATCCTGAATAAACAACATAATCTCTTTAAATCATTGTATTAATAAGAGCGCCACATCTCACTAAGAACCACAAGTGTCCTATGAATATCTGAACTACATAAGGGGAAAGGGCATTGAAAAAAATTGACTTAAGTTAATTCTAGTCGAAGCCCTATATGATACGCGGATGATCTATCTATTAATCCGATTAAAGCTTAATGCCTTCATGTCAACAACGTACAGTCATAGTTATGTATTATCATAATTACCATATATTAAATTAATGGACGTCTCATTCATTCATATATCTTGGTTTTGTTTAACGGTTTCAATGTCATATTTTTTATTTATTTAGATTATGATCAGAAATGCTCCTAGAGCTCCTACTCCGTAACTTCCAATAGCGTTAGGTACTGCCATCCAGAATCACCACCACAGATCTCAGAAAGACAGCCAAGAAACTGGGTAGGGGTTTTTGGCAACGTGGCCAATGGATCGATATAATCGATCTCTATCTCATGCTATTCACTGTATTTGAGGTTTATTTATTATTCTTTTTATCTTCATCATTTAACGATTTAAGCCCCAAGCTAAGTCATTAGTAGATAAGAGTTGAGTTAATTACATCAAACAATCCTAACTGATTTCCCGAATGCGAAAAATTTCACCATATTCATTATATATTATGTTTTTAATAAGCTGTTACTTAAAAATACATCGGGCTTTGTTTTACTAGACATGAGTCTAGAGTATAACATTGAGATTATTGTTACTGAGGTAGATTTCCGTTCATAGAAGTAGTATAAACTATATATTAAATTTTATTTCCTAACGATAAAAATGATATCGATTATAGTCCAAAGTACATATTCCGAGAATATGACACTTTAATATTTTTATTTTCACTCTTAGCAGTTTTATTACTAAGCAATTTTAATCTAGACGGCGTGTCTCAATAAGTAAATATTAGCGAATATACTTCGCGTATACTTTGATACGTACGTGATACTTTCGCGTATTCATTCTTAAACAATAGAAGGCTATTTTTTAAAGACACAACATTAAATCCATTAGTAGTTAGAGATCTGAAATCTGTATAAAAGCATTTTGAATTAGAGTTGAGAAATTAAATAATGTTGCCTCAATCAAGGCTCCCAAACGGTACGGTTCTTTCAAAAGCTTTGTGAGACCAAACCGAGATTTGTTTGATCTTCATGATTGCAACACGTGTTTCCACATAAAATTTCTTAATGAATTTTATCCGAATTCAAAGGGAAAACGAACGTATTTAGTGGACAAAAGAGCTATTTTAATGTGATAGTTTCGGTTTAATAGCAAGAATAACGGGATTGTTATATACGTAGATGTTTATGTGTTCAATAGAAAATTAAAACCCAGAAAACCAATGCAATATGTACTGTAATTATTATATGTATAAGCATATATTATATAAGGTAAGAACAATAACTTATACTAATACCAGACCGAGTATTCTTCCAAATACTTGGCATCTATCTATGAGTATTACTGTTTCATAATAATCGTATTTATACTGAAATGATTGCGTTATACAATGATACACTCTATACAACACCGGCCTCTTTTCAAAATGCCTCCACTTAATACCAGACAAAAACATTCAAGATTCGAAGTGTACAGACCTACAACCAATATTCAACCCAGTTTGACATGGATATTTTCTGTTCATCCATTGACTCTGTGAGACGCACACTCACATTCGGCTATTTCCGTTAGAATAGTAATTTAAATCTTCTGCTTTTCATACTTAATTTCAATCTTTAAATTCTTTCGTACTTTTATAAATTCATAATTGTTAATTTTAATTTTATTCTTCCTCCCTAATATATTATAACTCCCTAAGGTATTTATGGAACATAGATTTTATTTTATTGTACCTAATCATAATTTCCTTACTTTTTGTTAAAATACTGTAAATCTTCCTAAAATGTAATAAATAAATAAATATACCAGAACACGCACCCTAAATATCGACATTATTATATCATTTCAACTGTCGAGTTATATGTATATTTGTAAGGTAAGAGAAGAAACTAAAAATTATTTCTTTTGCTTACTGTGATAACTGGCACGTAAACGAGGTCAACCTCAGCTAATCGGATGTCATTGGGTTATTATTACGCATTATTTTCTCATATTTTATCTACCAATATTGAAATAGTAAACCACATTTCATTCCATATAACGACAATCCTTTTTACGCCAGAAAATGCGCGGTTAAGTGTAACAAGTGTATACATTAATAGTCATTGCGGAAAAATATATCGTGCAATATTACTTAGTAATTCATTCTAAACACGTCCGTAGCACGTGACGATATTATTTCAAGTTCAAAGGGTAAAAAGCGGTACTGTATTAAAAAGGATGGCTCTGGTAATAGAACCCACGCACGAACTATTCTTTAGAGAAATTTCTGGGACGTTTGTACGATTTAGGTATTTTATAGATATGATATGGACTATTGGCGAATCCTAAATCGCTTTTATTCTTTGAAACGATTTGCTCAATTTGTTCTCCTTAAAAGTAACGAAGTCGCATTACGCAGTACTAAGTGCCATATTTTTTATTTAATAGCAAGAAGAGAAGATTTTTGAGTATAACAGGACCGTTTCCTTACGATATTTTAACCTTACAAAAATTATAATATTCATAGACAGAAATATAATATAAATCCATGAACGCCGAACCTAGGCAAGACTATAATTACGAATTATTGGTGAATATGTTACTGTAAAAGCTCGAACTGCAGTAAATCCTAAGATATTCCAGTAAAACCTAAGATCTACCAATTCCTAATGGTAAATGTCCAAAAAGGTTTGCGATTCGAACTCTTACCACCATTCCGTTGGTAAATCTTAGGATTTACATTAATGGCACGGTAAATGTTGAAAAACATAAAAATGCACCTGCAGATCATCAGGATTACCTTGTAATTCTAAGTGCCACTATAGCAATCCGTGTTGTAACAAGTGAAATATTTTTTTTAAGGTACCTTATGTACGTGAGATATTCAGAGATAAACGTTATGTGTTTTTTTCAAAATAATTTAAGTAAGTTGGTATTAGTTTGTACTTATTACTATCATATGATACCTTTATAATACTATGTACCTGTTTTGTCTAATAGTTCATTAAACTAAATAATTAAGAATTACACATTGTTTTATTCCTAAAACCAACATCTACCAGCTAACAGAGGTAAAACCTAGCATATACTGAATTCGAATGGTAAAAGCTCGAAAAAATCGTCGTATTTTCAGAAATTCTTACATTTACCAACTCATGTCGGTAAATCCTAAGACACTTAAATCTTAAGATTAACCGTAGTTCGAGCTTTTACAGTAACATACAATAAACAAATTACTAACATTACCACAAAAACCATTAAGTATTGTATATATTATAGATCTATAAATTATATTGTATATATATATATATATATATATATATATATAGAGTTTCATAAGTCCTAGTAGGATGTCCTATTAGTCGGGTAGTAATTTTTGAAGTTGGTTTTATCTACCATCGAGGTGAATATCTGGTTCAGACATAAATCTATGTCTGAGGGATTTATGAGAGGAACTCGTAGACAAAGTCTAATTGCACTAGTTCAGAGTTGAGATAAGATCAACTAGCTTCGGAACTCATCATAATAATACTTCTGTTATTGTTTGGATCCATTATTTTTGTGTTAATTAAATTAGTATTACTTTAGAAACATGATTAATATTTTAATACTGGTTTAATATTACCACTATACGACTTCGCACAGCCAAACATTATTTTACTTACCTAATAAAGCTTAAAACTCAAAATTTATTTGACATATTTATAAACACAAAAGCGAATAAAGTAATCAATCTGCTCAATTACAGGCGCAAACGTGCAGGGAGTAATATATAAAAGAATTAAATAACTTTACCTTAAAAATAAATATATACAACAAAAAAGTTCAAAACAACATTTACTTTGGACTTCGAAAATGTATAAAAACCTTCAACCCTTAGATATTTTATCGGCTTTCTTAATAATTTTCATGTTATCATTTTTATTTATAGGCATTTAAGGCAACCTTCTGCGTCTAGCACATGTCGATTATTTATTGGTTTTAAACTAGCTGGACACAAATAGAAACCTCCATCCTCCACAACCTTAGAGGCGGACGCTTAGCCACTATAGCATATAGCATATAGCATGAATTACTTATTATTAACAAGACTATTAAAATGAACAAAACCGTTTATGGTGTTATTTCATAAAAGCATTAAACTACACTATTACCGACACGGACAAGGTATAAGAGCAATAATTAGCGATGTTTTAGCTGGTAATATTGAGGAAGAAACTAATAAAACGCGCACAAAAGAGCTCAGACAATGCCCCTAATGGCCGCCGGAAGTCGCGCTGATACCGGATGTCAGGGATGTGACGTCACGATAAGAGTTAGACGGGGCTTAGTGCGCCTTTGTTCTATTTCATTTAAGATTCTACAATTTTGTGGTCCAGCCTTTGAGGCGTTTAATAGCAATATTTTAATGGTAAAATGGCTGTTTAATTTTTAATTTCTGTTGTCTGTCTTGATATTTATATTGAGCAAAGCGAAAGAATGTTGAGTTCTTGCGATGCTGTGCATTTAGTCCCTATTTTATAATAAGTGTTACTGTAATCCAATAAGGATTACAGTAAGACCATAATCAAATAGTAATAAAAAATGAAGACTAAATACCTTGAGATTATTGTATGAATTAAAAGTAGTTTTTCTAAGTAGAAAGAAGTACTTAAAAATTAACTAAAGACTACATAACATTGATCGTAACATTATATGTTGATTATTTATTGAAAATGTAAATTATCGTCTCTAAGCAACATCGGCTTTCAACGAAGCGTTCTCAGACCTCAAGCTTATCTATTTGCAACTTGCTGATACAATTTCATTAAGAGTGCGAGTACGGACTCGCTAACCAGGATGAAAGATTTTTACGCTTTTATCCTGGGAACTGTTCTTGAATTAAAGTGATTATCTTCGTTTTATAAGCTCCTCAGTAAGCTAAAAGACATTCTATATTTCCAATAAATTATATAAAACACTAGCTGACCCGATAAACGTTGTTTTTCCGTAAATAATGTATATATACGTAATATTCTAGGAAAAAAACTATATACTATAATAAAAAATTGGGGTTGATCGTAGAGGGTTGAAAATAAGGGGTTGTATTTTTGTCATAAAAAAATATATACAAAAAAATTGTCTAAAAAATAAAAAATATTTTTTTGGGGGGTTAAAAGATAGATAGTAGCCGATTCTCAGACTTACTGAATATAGATAAAAAAATTCATAAGAATCGGTCGAGTCGTTTCAGAGAAGTATGGGAACAAACATTGTGACACGAGAATTTTATATATTAGATAGATTATATATGCAAATTATTTCGTTCCAGTATATCACTGCACTGCTGGTTGTCTTTGGTCGTTATTTTTTCTACACGCAATAAATATGAATGCAATATTTTTATTACGAAAGATATCCGTTCTCGCTGCTACAGCGCACACAGCCTGCAAAGCTCGGCTAACAATTTTAACTAAACGCTTTGCGAACTCGCGAAACTGACAGGCGATGGAGATAACACAGATTGTGTTTGAATTTTTAGTATTTCACTCCGTCAGCGTCATGTTTCACGATGCTTTTTGTACAGTTATTTAATGAATCTATAACTGGATATGAGTTGTATGTAACCATTAGTTTCTCTTTAAAGATCATAATAATTTTATTCTTAATATACTTAAATAAAACTTTTTTTAATGTTTACATTTGAAACATAGTATTAATAACTATATTTATTTGCAGGTACACGGTTCCTGGGGTCTACCAGCCTTCGTGTGTGACGTGTATATCGCGATGGATGTGACGTCATCGACGTCCAGCATTTTCAATCTGGTCGCCATATCTGTCGATAGGTAATTAACCACAACCATAGCGAATCAGGCTAAGTGCTGAATCAATCTATACTTTCGTCCAGCAACAACGAATTGTAATACGTGATCTTTCTTTAACTGGGCAGTGAACATTTTTCCATGTTTCCTTAAACATTTGCTCATATGAAAACGGAAAAAAAACGTGAGGAAACAGACATGTTTTAGACCCAGAAAACGATAGTGTTACCAGGTGCAGAAGACTGATCACCTACTTGCCTAATGAGAATAAATCAAGAAATAGATATATAAATTTATAGGTATTTTTGTGTTTTGTTAGCAGATGTTTAATAGCTGATTGGCATTAAAGAAATACCACCAAAAAACTTCGGAAATTCTTGACCTTATTAAGGTCCAGTATGAAAATTTGATAATATGACTATATTGTGGGCCTATACCAAAGAAGAACTAATCACTCTTTTACATTTTCTATTTAACTTATTCATGAACATTAGTGTTTGCTTTGATGTTAAAATCGATCTTGAAATGGAGGAATCAAACTTAAAATATCATTTAAGAGCCTAAAATACCTTGAAGAGATTTCACGTAATATATACATAACTAGTAATTTAATAGAGATACTCTGAGTGCTTTTATTAATTCTATTGATGTTTCGCTTTGCGCGATATATCGTAAGATATTGGTGTACGGTATATATTTTCTTGGAACACATACAACGATGGAAACTTTGTAAATTAAATTGTTCAGTAAACATTTTAAAACACGGTTAGTTAGCATTTCACGATGTTCTTACTTTTCTTTATTTAGGTTAAACGTATATATTATTCTAATAATTTCAATTTAAACCATTTGATTCCCACTTTCCTGCTTACCTTTTAAGTTATTGTTTTGGTTTTGGCGCGACTTTGATTAAATAGGTGGGGTTAATAGCATAAGGATTTAAAACTTTTTTTCAACTCTCAACGTTTAATAATTTTTTAGGTACATAGCAGTAACCCAGCCAATCAAGTACGCCAAACACAAAAACAATAAGCGCGTTTGGTTCACCATAGTCCTGGTGTGGATGATCTCTGCAGCAATAGGAGCGCCCATCGTTCTAGGACTCAATGACACACCAGACAGAAATTACGACGAATGCCTCTTCAACAGCCTCAACTATGTGTTGTATTCGTCGTTGGGGTCTTTCTACATACCCTGTATAATGATGATGTTCCTCTATTACAATATTTTCAAGGTGAGCGAATTCATTTTCTTATTTAAGCGTATCTTCAAATATCATTATATATATATGGTGACATTTAGTCGTGCCAAAATGCCTCGTCATCATGAGTACAATGTGTCGGGGGTGATACTCAAGCGGGAAACGTCAGTAAGAGACTTAGGAGTGCGAGTGGATGCCCAACTGAATTTCCGAAATCATGTAGTGGACATTTGTAAGAAACCATACGCAAGAATGGGATTTGTGCTTCGAAGGGCAACAACGTTCACTAATATTAAAGCCATCTCAAGCTTGTACAACGCGCTAGTAAGAAGCATGTTAGAGTGTAACTCGTCTGTTTGGGCTCCGCAAGACGCTAAATACTGCCTTATGGAGCGCATACAGAACAAATTTACACGATTCCTATATAGCAGACTGTATGGCGTCTATCCCTACTATCCTTTAATGTACCCTACATTATTTGTCTTAGGGATGGTGATTGGTGGGGTACAATAAATTGGAAACCAGACGGGACTTACAGTTGGCCTACTACGTACTGAAAGTCTTGAGGGGTGTAGTGTGCAACCCAAGTGTACTCCAAAAACTGGGTTTCTTAGTACCTATGGGATATGTGCGACGGCGAAGGCCTAGGTTATTTGCGATACCAAGAGCAAGAACCAGTCTGTGTCACAGATCCCAGTTACCCAAGACTTTGCGCCTACTGAATGCTGTCTCCGACACTATCGACATATTTATATGTTCGCAGAGTGAATTCACAGAAGCGATGTTGTGTATATTATGTGTTTAATATTATATATGTACCTACTTTATTATATTTTATTTAATGTTTCACGACATTATCGTTTTGGCATAGTCTGTAAGGATAATGTATGTATTTCTGTAATAAATAAATAAATAAATAAAATCATTAGTTAGAAGTCACTTGGAGTGCAACGGTATGGTGTGGGCTTCATATGAGGTTAAATACAGTCACATGTTAGAACGAGTACAAAATAATATATTCACCCGTTACCTCTACAAGAGGTTATGTACCCGACCCTGTTTGTTGTGGGTATGGTGGGTTATGACCAAGCTACGTCTCAGAAGAGAGCTAGCTTTGTCAGTATTTATTTAGGATACTTACGGATCGGGTTCATCTCGATCAATTTTTAATCAAGTTCAATCTAGATATAATGGAGAGATTGGGTCTACGGGTACTAAGTAAAAACCTGAGGCGGAAGTCTAAACTTTTGGATGTACCGCGCGCACATTTCAAGCATTTGCGAAGCGCCACTCACGCGAGCAATACAAATAATAAACAGAATTTCTATCGTGGTAGACCTATTTGTTTGTACACTGGCTGAGTTCTCAAGAGTTGCTTGCTATATTGTTAGTTGTAAGATTTAGGTATATAAATTTCTTTTTCATGTTTTTAAATAAATAAATGATATGTAGGTATAATAAATAGTCTATGAGATATAAACAACACAAACGAATTCGCATATGCAGAGTTAGGGCAATATAGTTACCTATTTTAACAGGCCTTAAGAAATCGCGCCAAGAAACAGAGAGCAGCCAAGAAGCCTCCAATATCTGGTGAACCAACAGGAACCACAGCTGCCGTGGTTATCGAAAACGTAGCTCGAACCAGACAGTTGGAGACAGCAATGGATGAAAGACCGACCAATACAGGCTCTGGCAGTAACGAAGATGACCATGAAGATAGGTAATTAAAAATATGGTATTTGACTAAATTAATTGTTATTAAATAATAACAATAGACAGATTAAGGACTGATACTTAGTGCTGAAGTTAGTATATCAAATTATTATTTACCATTTCAAAATCCTTTACAAATATGTGTTTAAGAGATATTTGTTCTATATATATATAAATTTGTCCTCCTCCAAGTATAATAATAATCATTCTAAGTCTAAGTCTTGGTCTCAGATTGCATCTGTTGCTTGATTATTTTTTATTTCATAAACACGTAGGCGATATTAGGTTTAAGAATAACTTTATTTCTCATAAGAATTGCAAACATAATTCACTTACTGAGAAACAATATGTAAAACTAAGATTAATAATTAGAGCGCCCAGATGTAGGTACGTATATAAAATAACAAAACAAAACAGCAACAAAAATGTGGGTAGACATAAAAAACTCGATCAGTCAACTAAAACAGTTTGAACTAAAATTTCTGTATTAAACTAGATGTTAACTTTTTATTAAATTAACGACACATAGCTACAATAATCTGGCTTAACTTAGCATTAAACCTGAATGCAATGCTTAACTAGGTATACTAGGGTCCCGAGAGATTTGGAAAATCCTTTTTACACTTTTATTACCATTTTCATTGATAATTACAAAAACTATATATTTAAGTTTTATTTATATTTCCATTAGTTTCGACAAGCGGTCTGTTGAGATGGAAGTATACACGGAAGAGTGTCACGTGATTCCTAACGACAAATCTACTGAATTCATGTTGGCCACTCTAACTGAACAAACCACTAAGTTAGTATTTTGTTTACACACATTTTTTTAGCTTGATCGTACTTAAACAAAACTTCTTAACAATAAATAAATTAAATATTGAATCAACTCATATATGTATAATGCGTTTGTAAATAATGTTTTAAAAAGTGTTGAAAATATTATAAATAATATGTGAAATGATTCCTAAAGTAATTAGAGATTTCAAGGTGATTGCAATCTTTCAGAACCCCGAGAAAAAAGGTAAAACCCCAAACCATTCAGGATCCAAACGGAAACAACGACTCAGGGTATGCTCCCTCCAATCTAGAGGATACCATTAGGGAGCACATGACCCCTCCCGGGTCTCCCCCAGTAAAAGATGCCACCGTTCTGAGAAATATGGCCTGTGATACGTGGAAGAAAAACGGCAAGAGACTTGAACCGGATACAAGGTAAGGGACAAGCAGGCTTCGAGATAAGTAATTTCTTGATAAAGGTCTATTGTATTCGGGATGATTATTCATCGATGTCCTTCATATGTACTTTAGTAACCTTATATCATTTTTTGTTAGAACTGACTAACTTATTTTAATAAAACTCAGAATCGTTGGAACGTATTGATAAACCTAAACAAATGAAACTCATGGGTTTATTTACAATTTTAGCTAAAACTAAACAGCTTAATTCCCGACATACGGAATTAAGCTGTTTAAAACTTTTGAAATAAAATGAAATACAGTAATTAGCTACTTGTATATATTAATTGTGACTCATTAACCTTAAGACTAGCTTTTACATATTTGTTAATATTATTATTATTATATTTTAGTTAAGTTAAGTTTCAGTGAGTGTTACATGTTATTTTTTGTTATTATTTATGCACTTCTTGTACTCTACCCTCTGTAGATTTTTATTTATCCATACTAGGGTTGCCTGGAAGTAATTGCTTGTTAGCGATAAGGCCGCCCGTTGCTTAATAATTTATGTAACCTGTTTTTTTAAAGGAAACGAAGTGTTAATAAATAAAAAACTATCGATTCATTAGACTTTTATTTACCAATTAAAATAATAAAATGTGTTTCTTTCTCAGATGCGCGTCAATCGCTTTTCGTTCTGAAGATGACTTGGGGTCCAGTCACTACGACCTTCGGGATGGCACAAATAGTAAAAAAGAAAGGAAAGCAAGCTCCACGGCGAGGTTCACTATCTACAAAGCGAATAAAGCAAGCAAGAAGAAACGCGAAAAATCCTCCGCGAAAAAGGAAAGAAAAGCAACTAAGACACTGGCTATAGTTTTAGGTACGGTGATTATTGTTATATTTTTAAATTGTTGCTTTTATGTTACGTTTTAAGTTCTAACAATGTACATGTATATTATAAAGGTAGGGTAAGAGGAGGAGGTAGGAGGTAATAATATCTATAGTTACAGACATTCTTGGACTAAGTGATTTCCTATTTCTTTAAAAAACTTACATTGAATAACTTTTACCCGAAAAACTATTCTTATGATCGAAAACTTGACACAAACGGAAATCCGAAATATATTTGAGATATTTTTTTCTATAGGTGGGAAACTCTTAAGTGGTTCACCTATTTCAAAAGGGAACTTGTTAAAACTTGTTTCGAGTTTCCAAGTATTTGCGAGGAACAAAATTACTTATATCGAATCTAAGTTCACACCTTTTCACAAATAATTCAAGTGTTGCGAACTGTTAACTTGCGATATCTAAGAACCTTGTGAACTCGACGAAATCTTCAAAATTAACAGCCAATTTAATGACCTTTCTCTAACTTTATTCTTAATTAAAATAAATTAAAATTTTCCTCTGTTATACGTAACTTTATTAATTTGTTAAAGTTTGTTGTTTTGGATTCTTTTTTCCATATCCACTTTATTTTTGGAAAATCAAAATTGATATAATATTTTGTATAAGTTCTTAAACTTTGTTTTAAACATCTACTATAGTATTTATATTTTCAGGTGTGTTCCTCTTCTGCTGGACACCGTTTTTCACCTGCAACGTACTGGACGCGATTTGCGCTAAATTTGGTCTTCAGTTCACACCGGGAGTCACTGTCTTCATTCTCAACACTTGGCTAGGATATATCAACTCCTTCCTTAACCCAGTTATCTACACGATCTTTAACCCAGAGTTTAGAAAAGCCTTCCGGAAAATATTGAAGTGCAGCACCTAGCGTCTGGATTACGTGGTCATCTTCGCTCAGTAGATCAATTAGAAATATTAGTATGCATGAGCAGTTTGATTTGGCTATCAAAAATATAGAAAAGACGAAAGATAATGAAATATAAATGATTGTAATATAAATATAAAGTCTCTCTAATTAGCATTGCATTATAAATTAAACACTAACAACGAACACTATGGACGGCGGCCATATTGTGATCATTTATAAACAGCATATCGACTGCTTTAGCACAACTGTTTTCTCCTACTAGTTTTGTAAATACTTACAAGTAGATTTTGCCGTAAGATTAGATATATAAAAAGTTATGTATATTCTGTCCTATAATGTTTCATATTAAAAGATGCTTATGTCTCAGAGAGTGAAGTCACGATGGGAAGGTTGTATGGAATAAATAATCCGGAAACAACAAAAGAATATAAAAGATAAGAACTGAGTAAATAAAGTACGTTAGCGCGTCCTTTGTATTTCAAAGCGGAGTGGAAAATAGAATATAGAATTTTCCACCTCTCTCAAGACAGAGAGTAATAGTAAAGCTTTAACTGTACCCAACAGTATTACTAAAATAACTTCTAAATTTAATTATAGTTAATAAATTGCCAAAATTTTATACGCTTCCCTTTTTTTAAGGTTGTGATTTTATTTCATAATGTGTGTTTTAAGTTTTTAAAATTTTGAAAATGCTCAAATATTAACGATTCAATCTCTAATAGATAAAGGGTAATAATTTTAGCAAATTAACGAGTAAACAAATATTGCCTCTTAACATCAAAAATACACTCTAATCTAGTTTTTACACATTCAATATTTATTTTTCTGAACAAATTGGAATATATAAATTGATATCTACTATAATAAAAAATATTTATGAAGTCAATGCACGGCGTGATTTGAAGTTTGTAAATACGATAATTATATAATTTGATCATATCAAAAGTTGTAAATAATCTCTATAAATTTGAATATTTAAGGTCTTGTTAGAAACTTGTCTATCTACGAAACATAAGCCAATAACTTTTATGATAACGACGATGCGTCATTTATAAAGAGTATTTAGTTAATATATGTATTAATATTATACCTCGTAACATGTAAGCTTTTTTATGCATTAAAGTCTCGAGGTTTGAATTTGAAAAACCATCTCAACTATTTAACTTACCAATTAATATGATAATGAAATATATTAGTTTGTATAGCTTAACCAACCTTTAATTCATACAAATTTAATTAAAGAATTTGTTCACATCCTTCTGTCAAAGAGGGTTCATGCTGTGAAATAAAAATAGATCAGTGGTATGTCAAACAGTAAATTTAAACTGATTAGTGTTTATAAGAGGGTTAATTAATAATTAAAAAGACATATTGTATTATTTTTTAAATTAAATGTATCCAAACAGCTTAAGCTTCAATGGATTTATATAAAACTACATTAGACCAAAGAATATATAGGTCATAAGAATTAACTATTGTGATCTCGTTTTAATTATGCTCAATTATTAATTTTTAAATACTCCAAACGTAACTCGATGTTCCTTGTATTCTATATAGTTTTTACGTATATTTATTTATTTCACCCTTAACATATTAATGTTCTTTAATGTTAATGGTACTCACCATTGCGTATAAACTAGAGGTTTATATAGGCTAAATATTTGAAAGTATCCTGATAATCGCTATGTATAAAAGCTCAATTTTTTTAAATAAATGAGATTCTTGTGCAATAATGTAGCTGATGTGTTAGTCGCGCCAAATTTAAATGTAAATATCATTAAATATTATGAGTAATTTGTAAATTGTACCATTTAGTAAAATATTAAAACAACTCGTAGATAAAATAAATATAATTTGATAAGCTAAAGGTAACTTCCTTAAATTATGTTTCATTTCTAAGTATTAGTTAAAGTGTGTTGTGATTAATTTGTGTACGCTGAATTAACTCAAATACTAAACGAACATAATATTATCGTGTATTAGTAATTGTACAGGTAGCGTTTGAACTTTCTATGCAAAATTGTGATGATTACAAATATATTACTCTGTTTTTATACGATTTGTTTCATTTAATCTTATAAAAGATAATAAGATAATCTATAGTTAAAAATTAATTTCAGAAAGCTTAGATAGATGACATTTTTAGATTCAGATTTAATATTATATGTTTACCCATTCACTTTATTTTTATTTAATTCATTGCTTAATCATACCGAAAGTAGAAGTAGCCAGTTTAGCATAAAATATCATGGTAGGTAAACATAACGGAACATAACAAAAACTTTTTGTATCAGGAACTTGAACAGAGCTTTGCGATGTATTTAGAATACCATTCATATATTTCCTGAGTTAAACTCTGAAACACAAAGGCATGGGGCAGAGATATTTTTGATAATCGAGTATTTTATTCATAGGAAGTCACTTCAGTCAGACGTAAGTTACACGAAATCAAATTCTAGTATTTTAATGGTAATTAATACTTTATGAGATTTTAAAAGATAATAAACACTTGTTAAACTTTACCCAGCTAAGATGCTAACTAGTAATTTTTAAACTAAATTGCATTAGAGGCGTTGCGCTTTTATTTAATTTTATACCAGGCACCGCCGTATTTAACGTAAAAAGTTCCCATTTGTCAGTTTCTGTCAAATCTTTATATCACTGTCAAAAAAGAGAAAGAACGGTGTTTTATTAAAAATATTGTGGGTTGTATGAATAAGCCGGTTTTTACTTAAATTTTGTACGCACATTATTTACATTTAAAATGCAGATTTATTTCGTGTAGAATGTTGCTCACGTTGACTTACTAATCTTCACTCCATATTATACTTAAATAAGTTTGTTTGTTTGGTTAAGCGCGAAAATCTTAGCAATTACTGTTTGATTTAAAAATCTTGTTGATTCTAAAAACGTAGTACCTATTTATGAAACCTTTAAATATTAAATAGCTTTTGCCACAAGATTGTTTTAAAAGTTGCTACAAATATCTACAAACATAGCAAAAATTCATATTTATATAAAGGGAAAATGTAACAAGTAAAACAAGAATTAAATATACAAAGAGAAGCAAAGATAACGAAGTTTCAGCACTAAGTAGAAACAAAAGTATTGCGAATAAAATCCAACTAGTTTCCCCCACAAAAGGTACCTGCTGAATTTTGTATGAGCCCTGTTTATGTCACATGCAAACTTTGTTCTCATCAGAAATGTATAATTCTGAAAGTCCCGCCAGATTCCTTTTGAATATCAGATTATGCGAAAATGAAATTACTTTGAGTTCTAAGAAAAAGGATTAAGGATAGATGAGAGTGGATAAATTTTTATTATATATGCAAGTGGTATGTTGTAGGTACAGTAGGTAATGGCTTCAGACAGTGTTTTACGTAGAAACGTATAGAATAGTTGGAATTGTATATTGTGATCACGTGCTTCGCAATATAATACAAATACTTTTTAAGACCACTTCATAATAAAATATCAGGCGTTACAATCACATCTTAGAATATTTCATAATTTCCTCCACCATTCGATATGCGAGTATAAACCAAATTCATCCAATCTATAAAATTTGCCGAATATAATTAAAAATGAAATAGACTTTAAGTGATTGGTTTTCGCTAAGTAAATTCCGCCTCGCAGTAACTTTAAGATGTTTCAATTAATGTAATGACTTCTTTCCAACTATTTGAGGAGCTCTTGCATGAATACTAAATGTCATACCTTAACGTTGAGAATACATAATATATTGTAGTTGCCAAAAGTTTTCTAATACAACAAAATTACCATATTTATCTTTGTTTTATAGTCTTTTAAGAGGCTGGGTAGATGGAGTAATTTACATCCCCTAGCCTAAGGTAGCTCTAGCCTACAATTTCCTGCATGGTCACCGAGACGTTGTGCTGCTTTCGTAGTTAATTATTTATCAATATCTATAAGTCCCATACAGTTGCCGAAATTATCTTTCATAGACAATAAGTATTGCGCTAATGTTACGCATTTTGTACATTTTTTTGGTGAAAATAAAATCAAGGAAATAATCTAAATTTACATCATCTCCTCGATACCTTGTCTACTCTGCTTTCTCGCCTGCTGTCATGTTGTAATGTAATAATATAGTCGTCTGCTGTCATATTCTTTTTCTGTGTAAACCAATACTCCAACTTTATATTTATATCGACCTGTTTCTGTTTCTATTCATCTGTTTTCTTACTAAAATAAAGGCTGATTTTAACGAAACCTCGGAAGATAGCTCGGGGGAAGGCACCTGGTCACGGGACACTCAATAATGTCCTTAAAGCTAGGTGCTTGAATAATAATAATAAAAATGTGTTTATTCATTATAAGTACATATGTATTACAATGTGTAAGCTTATGAGTGACTTTCTATCAAAATGTGCTTTTCTGTCTCTATTGTTGGTTGGAAGCAGGCGACAGCTTCAACTTTTGGCCTTAACGTTTGGTGCAAAGTATAAGATTACTTTATATAACTACGGTACAAGAAATAAATTGAATTAGGAAAATCTTGTCTTATTAAACTAAAGGACAACCAATACAACTATAATTCAATATAATAAAAATTGCCGTTCTTACCAGAACGAAACCAAATTAACAATCACTGAAGTCCTTACAAATTTCCTTTATAATAATTTCTATGTACTAAATCTACCAACCGCAATGAGGGTACATTAAATGTTAAGGATTTGCTAAACTATATTTTAACTTGTAACATTTAAACAACTCCCTAAACCATAAAAAAATTAGTTCGCCATAAAAAAGGCGGACCATTTTTGAATAAAAAAGAGATAATTCGTAACTTTACGATTGAAAACGGTTATACTTTAAACCATCCGCTGATATAATAGCCGAGTTGTCTCGAAGTCCGAAGTCAATTTCAAGCATATTGTCCGCAGAGAAAAGATTCATCTTCAGTAAATGTACTTCATATTACATCTTTGGAAAGCCATTGTGCCTGGGTTTAAAGAATTAGGACCATTCTTATA